TTGGCTTTGCAGTATACGTGCTCTCATAGAAAGTGTTGATTCTTCTTTTGATAAGCATAAATTCATGATAGAGCAAAAAAAAAATAAAATAAAATAAAAAAAAAAACAGCATTCATACATTTTTCTCAAAATTTGAGGATGTGAAAACTAGACCATTACTAAAGCTGAAGTGGAGCATGCTGTGAAGGTATGATTATCAATTTTACATAAAATTGGACATAGATTATATCTGTTTTTTCTGTGTTTCTAGTTTGTAATGTCTACCCATTTTTCTTTTTAGTCCCTCAATATTCTTAGGTTGTTCAAGCAGTTTTGAAGAAATTAGATGAAGGGCACAATATTGGGGATGCAATAGACATCTTTGAAACTAAGGTACTCAACAATATTTCCATACGGAAGGTTTATGCTTAAAATACATGAACCTACTTGCAGTTTGAGTTCAGATAGAAGTTTTGATGGTATCTAATGAGAAACATAATAATTACAAACACATTAGTTAGTGAACATTACACTTTTAGATACACATTACAGACTGTTTAATTCAATATGAATATTTCTTTTTAAAAAATGTTTCTTACTGTCTATCTTAACAATTGGCTAACATGAAATCAAATTTTGAAGTAGGTATTTTTGAATTTATAAAATCACAAAATAAAGACAGTAAACCAAAGAAATGTAATTTAACATGGATGAGGTGCTATGCTAAACTGATAGAAAATAATGAATAATCACCTATTGATCTTTATCTTTGCTTCAAATGTAAATGTAGTCTTTCCCGTCTCTTCAAATGTAAATATGGGTTTCATTACATAACATCTATATTGTGAGTATTCCAGCCTGCATCCTGTAACAAATCTTCAGAAGTAGCAAAGGAAGTAAAGGCTGCTGAAACAATAAAACTTACTTAAGTTCTCTCCAGCTCCAAGAATATATTCATATTTCCCAAATTACAGGGGTATAAAGCTCTATAAGAGATCTAAGATGATTTGGAAAGGAATGGTTAATCTTTTCCCTATTCCAGGCTTCCAACAATGATTATTCTGGCAATTCCAGCCTGATCAAAACATAAATGTAGTATTGGCTGTGGATGATGACTTATTTATAGTGTTGAAGTAGGTTTATGTATTGATTCTGAATTTTGAATTTATCTCTCAACAATTAATGTTAGTCTTGGAGATTGTAATAGTCATTTGTAATTTAAAAAAGATTTCTACAACTCCCAAAATTCTACTCCCTCATTTATACTCCCTGAGGTGGCAAATCAGGATTGGTTATTTTCATCATAGGGGTCCACAGAAAAATGTCCTACATCAAGAGCATGTGAGAGGGAGTACAAGTTGGGAGTTTAAAATGGGAGTACACGTATTTTCCTTTAAAAATGTGGGTATTGAAATTTGTAATAAATGCATTCATATTTTGTTAATGTCTTTTGCAGTAATATCTAACAAATCTCTATCTCTATCTATAAAAAAGAATGTGTCCATTGGGCGGGAAAATGCTAAGTTGTGATTGGCCAAGATTCTATGGCTTTATTATATAGAAGGATATAAGGATTATTTTGAGAGTTTGTCAATGACAATTTCTACAATTGTTGTCAATAGGGGATAATGATAAATAATTTGAAATATATGGTTACAAATTTACAATAGATATTGTTATAATGATATAATAAAAATTAACATAGAAATTTCTTTATAAGTTTTCATGCATTGATAAAATTTTGAAAATTCTGAGAATGATGTATAAACTTGTTCAATTAGAGCTAGTAGAGTGTCATCATTATCAATTGTTTGGACAATGGTCATAACGCTTAATGCAAAAGCATAATTAAAATATTGAGTCTTGTTCTAAATAATCAAAAGAAGATTAATTAAACAAAAAAAAAAGGAAAAAAAATATAACATAGATTTGTTTTTAAAAAATGCAAGAAAATAATTTTATAGATTTCTTATTTGTAATCTTTGATGCTCAATTTTGAATACTATGTAAATAGTTTGGCTAATTAATTGAGCAAAGTTCATAGTAAATTTTATATTGATATTTTTTTAATACACTCTAACATATTCATAGTATACGTTCAACAATTATGCCAACTTTGATTAGAATGAGATTATTCGAACCTAAGACATTTCTTATGAAAATCAATGAGTAAGTTAAAAATAATAAATAGTTAACGGTAAATTCCGTTACTAAAGTTTACACTAACAGAGTGCATGATATTTAGAAAAAGTAAATGATATAATAGAGAGTAAAGTATGCAAATAAAAAATACTAAAATCAAAATAATCAAAATCATTCAATTTATCAAATAATAAGACAAACATTTTCTAATTCTCATTATAGGCCTAATTGTATTGTCACTTATCAGTATAGTGTTTATATATATATATATAGAAGAGCGCTCATATGTGGTCATGTCATTAGGTGTGGTCGTGTGGTCGTATCTGTGTCGTTGAATCAGTTTAATCTAACAGCAGTGGTAAGTTTGAAGATTTTCGCGCATTTTGGTAAGTGGGGGTGTTATGGTAATTACAATGGTCATTTATAGCGGGCGGGTTCCAGAATACACCAACAGTGTTGACAACATACACCAATAGTGTAATAAAACACACCACAGTGAAACACACCAATGGTGTATTTCCGTGTTATGGTAATTACAGTGGCCATTTATAGCTGTCGGGTTCCAGAATACACCAACAGTGTTGACAACATGCACTAATAGTGTAATAAAATACATAACAATATGATTTTCCCTATTCCGGTGTTTTATGACGAGTTTACCCTTATTGTTCGCTGGGTAGGAGAATGTGCGCAAAAATACTGAAAAAATCTTGATTAATATGATTCATTGGATCTATCTGATATAATGGCCTATAATTGACCATATGACCACACCTAATAACATGGCCACATGTGATCACTCCTCTATAGAGGATCAAATGAGGTCATGTTTCTACATGAGGTTTGTGGTTGAATTCTCACCTTTGATTTTAGTTTGGTCTATGGCTCTTGTTTTTTGGGTTATTTTTGGGAGGATTTTTTCCATTATTGACGTGTCTTTAGTTTAGGGGTTTTATTGTCTTTGCATTTTTTTCCTTTTTTCTTTTCATTTTTTTTGGCTGATTTGCATATTTTTAGTTGACTTAAATATGATAATTAAGGATAGATTTGATTCACATGGTGATTAAGCGTGAAACCTTTTATATTCTTTACCTTTTTTTTGTTATTGATTTTACTATTGTTTCTTTTTATTTTGTAACTAGTTTAGTTGTTTAGTATAGCCAACGCGTTTACATTAGGTGAAGTAAGACTAAATCCATTTCTCCCAAAGAAAAAAAAAAAAACAGACTAAATCCATAACACACCGTCATCTATTGATTGATCTTACGGTCCTAAAATTTTCACATTTGTCAATTAATAAAAGAGAAATCTCCTTGACTGTGTACTTTCTTCTCTCTTTGCATTCTTTCCAAAAGGATTTCTTCCTCTTTTTTTTTTTTTTTTTTGTAAAAAAATTTCTTTTGTTATTTTCATTTTAGTCTTTTGGAATATCTATTACTTTAGTATTGCATTCATCAATTTCTTTTGTTAATCTTATTTATTGTCCTTCTTTTATTTTCGTTTTTAATTATGTATACTGTGTTTGGTATTTTTCTTTTAACATTCTGTTTCGTGTTGTGTTGTATGTGTGTTTATTTTTTATTTTTTCGTATTTATTTGTTATTTGTGGCTGGGGTGTTTTTTTGTAGTGTGCATGTATGGATGTTTTAATTATGCACACAGTCTATTGTACCTTTTTTTGTATGTTGTGCATGTTTTTTTTTAAATGTCCCCTCTTTTTTATTTACCTATGTATTTGTTGTTGATGTGTGTGCAGTTCAGTCGGAATCTCTACAGGCTTGTCTAATTGACGTTTCTCTGGGTGGGACTAAGTACTGGGATCCTTCATGTGATGAGGTTGATAGACTTTTGAGTGTCAGCATTTTCCTTCTCTTGGTCATAGTATTGATTTTTATCGGGATTATGCGTCTGTTGTTGGATTTGACGTACGTCGTAGTTCAGTGCGTAAGAATAGGGAGGGTGTTGTCGTAAAAAATCTTTTGGTTTGTTCTCGTGAGGGGTTCAAGCAGTCTGGCTGGGGATGTACCGTTGGTTGGGACATCTGCGTTTGATGAAGCGCTTGTGGCTCAAAAGTGTCGGCGTGTGTCTAATAGGTTTGCTTTGTTATTAAAATAATGGTTTGGAATTCGTCTTTCTAGTAATCATTATCCTCATTATTTCTTTTCCGTTTATTTTACTTATTGCGCAATGTATAATTTCTACGACGCACAATTATTTCATGTGTTAGTTTAACAGATTTGCACAATGTGATACTTTATGGTTGCACATCCAATTCCACTCTGAATTTCAAATTAACCAAATTCTAGTCCACTTAACTGTTGTTACGTTTTTTTTTTATATTAAAGTTGCATTTTTATAATCACTTAAGTTGCACAATTTGGTCATTCAAATTCGTTTTCATTTGCACATTTGATTAGTTAGCTTTTGCACAACTTCTTTAGGGTGGATAACCATTTAGCAAATCTTTGATCATTAACAACTACACTTAAAATTGCATTACCAAAAACATCATCCTTGCACATACCGGTTCTGAGTGGTATTTCATATTCGCACATTTTCTTACACCATCGTTGCATGATTGCTAAATCATGCAGTACCCATTTATCGAGACGCTAACAAATTTTGAATGCTGGCAAATTGAATTTGTATTAAGCCTCAAACATTAGCCAGTAGCATATTTGTGTGCGTAGTTTTGTCACTTTCTTTCAATAACAGTAATGACACAACTTTTAAACTAAAATAAATTATTGCACATAAAATTGAATAAATAGAAACCACTACGTTGCACAAGTCTCTACTGGAAATTTTTTATCCATTGTCATGCTCTTTCTTGTCATCTAGGAACGTACCCAACGTATCAGGGGAGATTCGTGTGCAAATTAAGGAATGAGTGTGTGCCACTCGTAGATCATTTCATTAATCACTTGTGTGTATTCCAACATAAGATTGAATGCTAAAAAACCTAAAATAAATAATACCAGCATCCAAAATATACAAGTCCCAAAAAATATTTATAAACAACGGATAGTAGTGTATTTTAACATCTTTAAACATTGTATGTCATCATCAGCGGTTGTTGAGTTCATTTTGAAATTTCACTGCACGTTCGATGTTACAGGCTTTGTGTACATTACTGTCACTCATTAGTCATTAGGATCTCCCGCATGAAACTTACACAGAGGGCTTGAAGGCCGTCGGTATCTCCCTTTGGTAGGCCACACTCCCAAGACGTTGCAACCTGCCCACATAATTTATGTAAGTCATTCTGTTGGTGGATCCATTAACACGTTAGTCTCGTCTCGATTAATTTTTGGTAATCATAATGTGTTTTTCTATCCCAATATATGTAGTTTACTTACCAATTCTTGCTTCTTACTCATGTTGTTCTCTGCTTTTTGGATGCACAATAATCATACATGTAAGTGACAAATTCACTCAATATCCAACGCCACATGCTTGAACCATTTTTGAACACGCATAATTACTCCACCTCAAACAAATGCACAATTAAACATGTATACATATGCACACAAACACCAACAGTAGCAGAAGCTAGAGATGCACATAATATTCTTATGTATTACTACATACTTCCCAGGTACTAGTCCTCTACTATTAGAAATAACACTAGTTTTCTAATATATGTAAAAATTTCAGTCTGCATATAAATCACACCCACCCTACGCAAAGTTTGCACACACATGCTTATTCCAAATCTGTCAAATGCACCACCTACCGGCCGAAATCCTAGCCTCACCCATACCGATTACTGCCACTTTGTTTTGCCGCGACACCATTAAAACCCACGCCAAACCCTTTTTAGTTACTATCAACATCTTAATTGATGGGTTCCACACCTTAACGCCAACCATCACCCACTCTATGCAACCAAAAAAAAAAAAAAAAAAAAACAATGAGCTTTGAGCGTACCTCTGTTTCCCGCCGCTCTCGTCTGTGCTCAGCTTGTTCTATGCTTCTGGGTTCCGTCTGCTATATATTATTCCTCATAGCATGCACAAGGTGACAGTTCATTATCTTCCTCTGGTTGAAGCTTAGGCTGTCCTTATCCCTGCAAATACTCCCACTCTCAAAAATGGGTCCCACTTCCACATCATCCCATTTGCAAATCATCTACTATTCACACCACATCTCTGCAAATCTAATCTATTTTGAAAAGTGGACCCCAAATAATAAAATAAATAAAGAAAACAAACAAAAAGTACATATATAAAATAAAAAATTAAAAAAAAAGGTATAAAGCTGCTGCCGCTGCTGCTGTGGCAGCAGCTTTGTACGATGCAAATGGTTTGCCAATTTGCATTACTTGCAAATTGGCAATCCAAGTAAGCAATAAAAATAAAATATAAATAGCATATTATTCCATCTCATTTTACCACATCACTTTGCCAATGGGTTTTTTACAGGGATGTGGTTAGCCTTACCTAATATGACACAAGGAATGAAAGTAATTAATGAGATTAGAATTGATGGCCTTACCTTTTTTTTTTCCACCACGGTGCACAAATAATTACTCAAATGCCCCCTTACCTTTTACGATTCAAGACTTGCCTATTTTTCCACCCAATTAATCACAAATAATCTTTAATCTCTACTGTTGATCTCATATAATGTAAGGCTTGGATTTGTCCACAATCCTCATAGGAGGTAGTGTTCTCACTAGAACCTCTATATATATATATATATATATATATATATATATATTGAAAAGATTAGTATTCAGCCACGAATAATTGCATTTTGCTATTTTAAGAGTTATCAACCCAAATGGTTTGAGGATTTTGATTTATGATATTGAGAGTACCCAAATGAATTTCACATCAAACATTGTACATAAGGATGTTTATCCAAAATTTGTAAAACTTTAATATACTATTTAATTATAATTCTGTTGACACACTACTATAATGATTTTTCATTTTTATAATTTCTCCTTAATTCACTATATTATAATTGTTTTCATGCATCGCACTCTATTACAATGCAATATATGTTCATAACTACTTTCTCAACCGATGTTCATAACTACTTTCTCAACCGATTGAAGCACAAAGAGTCTTAGACTCAATCCCACAACCTCCCACTTGAGAGAGTAACTTGGTGCCTTTGAACCACAAGGTCCTTGGTGATATCAGTTTATTATTTAAATGAAAGGATATGATAATATAGAAACTCCTATTTTGTCATTGACTAGCTTACCTATTTGGACAGAAGTTTAGAATTTTGTTTGTGTGAGACCGTCTCACGTAAGATGTATAATACATTTTAGTTAAAATGCACTACATTTAATTTCTATGCACTCGTAATATTTTTAGTATAAATTTTTACTTTTAAATTAATCTATGCACTACATCAAGAATAAGTTTTGTTTGAGACTGTCTTAGTATGAGACATTATTTAATACGTTTTAGTTAAAAAATAATACTTTGATGGGTGCAAAAAAAAGTGTTACATTTTAATTAAAAAGTATTATATGTCGCACGTGAGACGATCGCACACAAGACTTACTCAATATGTATTATGGCTTGTGTGATAAGTAGTTGTTTCTTTCTAAAAATAATAATAATAATTTTTTTTTTTGTAGTGAATATATCATTTACATTTTGGTACATGAATTTTAGAATACAGTGATGTTTAAGCATTTGAAAATGCTTATTGGTGAAAACAAATCAAACTTTTATATTTTGTAAGAATTCTAGCCAAAAAAATTTAAAACTAGTAATTTAATACCAACATTTGAAATATTAGTTCACTTTCAGTCAATTTGTTAATATGATTAATTTATATATATATATATATATATATATATATATATATATATATATATATATATATATATATATATGTTTGTCCTAATGTCTTATCTTACATAATAGAGAATGATATATATTTTTTAGATTGTCCTAATGTCCTGATCAATTTATGGGTGTGTTTGGTTCACACAAGGGAGTCAGAATCCGAATGAAAATCAAATACTTGGTAATGATAATGAGTTTTGATGAATGTATTTTGCATGTTTGGCAGTATGATGAAATTTGAATGATTACTCAATATTGATGTTTAGTTATGTATATATAACTCTATAATGGGAATAATTTTATTTTATTTTTTTTGAGAAGAAAATATGTCATATATTAAGTAGCATCAAAGTTCAAAACATAAACAAGAGAAGGAAACGAGACTAAAGAATAGTCCAAACGGTCAGACTTAAACAAGGCATCCCGAGCTAGAAAGTGGGTGACCTTGTTCGCAGACCATTTAACAAGCAAAAAGCTGAGGTTGGAAAAATCCCTAGCTAGTTTCCTAATATCATTTATAATAATATCAAAAGGTGACATGAGATCCGAATGATGAACGTTGGCCACCTTTAAAGAGTCAATCTCCACCTGAATGAAATCTTCATTACATTCCTTCATCCATTTCAAAGCTTCACGAACTCCCATTGCCTCTGCTTCATCTGGTTTGAATACACCCGGGCAAGGAAAAATAATGACAATTGATCACTAATTCAAACTTAAAAATCATATTACCATAAGACTCTATAATGACATTCAAAGCATCAATATGAACAAAATAATCAAAATAAAAATCTAAAATCACTAATTCAAACTAAAAAATCATATTACCATAAGATAAAATGCTACCCGTTTTTAATTAAAGAATAAAGTTTCTAATTGAAGGAGTAATCAAAACCCATAGTTTGTTTTAAAATATTGTGAACCAAACATTAACTATGATTTTGATTCCTATTATTACTGTGTAAATCCATGAACAAACACACCCTATATACATATATATACATACATATATATATATATATATATATATATATATATATATATATATATATATATATATATATATATATATATATATATCTACTATAATAATAAGAGCCCAAGAGAGTTAGGCCTATAATTGGTAGAAAAAATGGCGGTCACAGATTTTAATCAAATGAATGGCTCAGATTGATTAAAAGATTGATCATATTTAAATTTTACACTAAATTTCCTAAAATCCCCACACACCGTTACTAATTCCGTTAAAATTTTAAGAATTGCCGTTAGTTCACTATTAACTTACTCATTGATTTCAATCAAAAAAAAAAAAAAAAAGGGTCTTAGGTTCGAACCTCATCCCAATCAAAGTTGGCATAATTAGTACTCTATTTTACTCTTATTAAATTATATAAATAATAATTTAGTAGTTACAACAAAAAATAATACATATGCATTTCTTTAATTTAGAATTATGTGTCCACATTGCCTTTATTCAAAAAAAAAAAAATTCATTATCAATAAATTAAATAAGATCTACTATACTAATAAGAGCCCAAGAGAGTTAGGCCTATAATTGGTAGAAAAAATGGCGGTCACAGATTTTAATCAAATGAATGGCTCAGATTGATTAAAAGATTGATCAGATTTAAATTTTACACTAAATTTCCTAAAATACCCACACACCGTTACTAATTCCGTTAAAATTTTAAGAATTGCCGTTAGTTCACCGTTAACTTACTCATTGATTTCAATAAAAAAAAAAAAAAGGTCTTAGGTTCGAACCTCATCCCAATCAAAGTTGGCATAATTAGTACTCTATTTTACTCTTATTAAATTATATAAATAATAATTTAGTAGTTACAACAAAAAATAATACATATGCATTTCTTTAATTTAGAATTACGTGTCCACAATGCCTTTATTCAAAAAAAAAAATATTCATTATCAATAAATTAAATAAGAGAAATAATTTTATTAGTTATATTGTCTTTATTTTTCTTCAATATAAAAATTCTTTATATTCAAATTTATTAATTGATTATATTCGCTACATTGTCCTTACAATGTCTTTATTCAGTGAAAAAAATTATTAATTATCAATAAATTAATTAAAAGAAATATTTTCATTAGTTAAATTGTCTTTATTTTTCTCAAATGTAAAAATTTTTACATTCAAATTCATCAATTGATTATATTCACTAAATTATCTATTATGTTTTTTATGCACTATTTTTCTAATTAAATATCAAATTTATAATACAAAATAATGCTATATATTTATTTACCAAGTATTTTATTAATACCATGAAAAAATTAAAAAATATATAATTAATAAAGCCAACCATATTAACTACTTTGAGAGATTTTGTGACAAAGAGAGTATTCAAATCACACAACAAATTGAAGTGAGAACTACCTCGCAATGTCCTTGTTTGACAATCAGCAGTTAGCGGATTTGACCAGCAAATTTATTTAATTATTAACATTGGGTAGAAAAAAATGACCGCCAAATTATTAAATCAAATGAATGGTTCATATTGTTCAGGTTATAATTTTTTTCTTTTAAGATTTTCTAATTTATCCTTAATTATATGATTATCCATTTAACTTTTCCGTTAATTCACCGTTAGTCTAATTCTAATATTAAAGTCTAATATAGAATTATAACTACACCATTAATCTAATTCTAATATTAAAGTATTAATAGAACTTAACCACAAATCCTAATGTCGGAATCTCCTCAAACAATATTAGTATATATTTAATATTTTATGCCCTAATTTTTATGTGTTCTCCCTTATGTCCCGTATTTGGTTTCAACTATACCTATACAATTATTTTATTGACAATTATAATCAATCTTGATTATATTATCTTGCATTTGTAAATTGAGAATTACCTATTTAACCCGCACGGGCTTAGCTCAATGGTTTAGTGGGTAGTATTTGGGAGAAGAGACCAACGTTTGAACCTCGGCGGCGGCAGTGCGAGAATTATGTCCAAAGTGGGCAGATTCCTTGTGCGTATCAGCATTTGGCCCTGTCTACTGAACCATTGAGTCACCGTGATTTACAACTTCCCACAATGCTCTGTCGGGCCGGAGTGTGGGGGGCCCTTGGGGTTGAGGACTCAACCTTTGGGAGAAGAATTACCTATTTAAATACGCAAATTCAACCTTCAATTATCTATGCATGAACAATTTCAATATAATCCTGCCTTAATATACTTTAAAGTACTTATTTAAAAAAAAAAAAAAAAAGCATTGGGCG